ACAGACAGACAGACAGACAGACAGACAGACAGACACACAGACACACAGACACACAGACACACAGACACACAGACACACAGACAGACACGGCGACTGTAGATCTATGTGTGTATTCTTCGGTTGAGAGTGACACAAGATGGAAAGTTTTACTATTTCAACAAATAAACATAAAATATACAAGGTGGAATTCAGGTGAGTTTGTACTCCGGTAAGGTTTATCTGTAAGTTGTAAGTTGAAAAAATAAACTAAGCGGCTTAAGAAAGGAAGAAACAAAGAAACAAAGAAACAAAGAAACAAAGAAACAAAGAAAGACAGAAAAAGAAAAAAAGGAAAAAAAGGAAAAAAAGAAAAACATATCGAGAAAAGAATGAATTAATATTATAGTTGAAGGGGTAAATGAATAGAATAAATGAGAGTATAAAATATGTAGATAAATTGTAATACTTCTGTTATTCTCCTATCCCTCAACATTTTCTCCTTAATACACTATGGACCAAAGTGCTGCACAAAATGGGTGCCGCTTATGCGACTCTGTGAACATATTTATTAATCTTCTTCATTTATTGTCTTTAATTTAATTTACTTGACTTAAGAAAAGATTTTAACGTTGAGACTCTGTCCTTGATGTTACGAGGTTTAAGCCAATGTGAATGACGTGATGAGATACATGTATTTACACCAGGGTTTGTTTGTTTCTTAAAATAATTTATTCATCTATTTTTTAAAATTACTTTTGTAAGTGTTTTACGGCGTTCGCAACTACATAAGATCACATGAACGCTTACAGTACAGAACTCGACAAGGACGGGGGAAAATATATATTTTTTTAAAAACAAGACTATGCCCCAGATTATGAATAAATGGAAAGGGGGGTTGAACAAAATATTAAAATTTTCTACCAATAGACGACAACAATAACAACAGCAACAACTACATACAGCGATAACAACAACAATACATAGATCTAGTAGATCTAATTACAACAGCAACAGCGAAAATATGAATTGAAGAACACATGAACTAAAGTAGGGGTAAAATTAAGAACCAAAAGCAACCCCCCCCCCCCCCCCTCCAAAAAAAAATTATTTTTTTTTTAAATCAATCAATCAAATAAAGTAGATTTTCTCTATCTGCTAAACTAATGAGTAAATGGCAAGAAAACTGGGACGAAATAAACTGCATTAATGTACGTGACGATGAGGTACCTTAAGTGGTAAAAGTTAGTCAGCCCATTAAGTAACCTGTCAATAATTATAATTAATATATTATGATGTACTCACCGAGAGATTTTCTTTTCCTGTGGGCTCTCGCAGGGCTCACAATTAATTCACTTCAAAATTTCTGAAAGCACTCTCCTTCTCCTTCTCCTTCTTCTTCTCCTTCTTCTTCTTCTTCTTCTTCGTGTGTGTGTGTGTGT